AAAAGTTGAACCTTATCACCAAGCCCCATCTGCGACCCTATCAATTGCAGTGGTTCACCAATAATAGGGAACTACGAGTAAATAAACAAGTTGAGGTAACCATCCGAATTTGTGGTTATATGGACCAGGTTGTATGCGATGTTGTGCCGATGCAGGCTTTCCACATACTACTTGGACGGCCTTGGCAATTCGATCGTAATGTCTCCTACTTTGGGAAGGAAAATACTTTTACGCTCACACATGAGGGCAAAAAGATCACTTTGACTCCCCTTACTCCACAAGAAGCCCATACGGATCAGGAAGTGATACAAAGAAACCATATTCAAGAAATGATGGCTATGAAGAACGTCTCAAAATCAGAGGGAACTCAAAGCTCCACACAAGAGGCAAACATAAATTCCATGGCAAGTTCGTCTACGACTGCCACTACCAAAAAAACTGTTTTCTATTACGGCCGGAAAATCGTAACAAAAAGCCATATTTCGTGCAATTTGCGTATTTGCTACGCCTTTGTTACGACTTTTTTCCGTAATGTGTACTCGCGTAACGAATGTTTTTTGCCACGCCACTTTTCGTAACTATTACGATCGGTCAACGCTCCCTGAAGTATGGTATTTGTTACGATGTTTGTTACGAATTTTCTCTCGTAACGAAAGGTAGATCCTTCCGCGCGTGTGGCAGGACTTTTAGTTACGGTATTTGTTACGGAAGTTCCTCGCGTTACAAGTGTTTTCCATTGACCGGTTGTCAGAACTTGGTTTTGTTACGACTATTTGTAACGGCATTGAACCCCGTTAAAAAAATATTACCTACTTATAGTCACGAAACCGTCTGTAACAACAAATATCCAAAGACCACTTTTTGTAACGATTTTCTGGCCTTTTGTTACGGAAAAATAGCGTATTGTGAAAAACAGGGGGTACGCTGCAATTGAAATTGTTCGTAACAAATGGACCTGCTGTGATGCGTATGATACGAAAATAAATTACGAATACAAAGATTGCTATAAACATCATCATCATTACGCCCCGCGCAAACATTAATTCATATTAAAATCTGAATTCCATACCTACCAACAAAGTAAAGCAACCCATAGAACAAGCCTACTAGTATCTACACATCAACAACCTGTTCCGCAAAACGTGCTTAACAGTTCAAACAGAAGTAAACAACGCAATAAGCAAATACGGTTATCCATCAATCCCATTAGGCACATTTTTCACCATACGAATTCAAACCACAAAGGTCTACGCATCAATTCCAGACATAGTTCAACAAAAACTCAACACAATCCATCCAAAGACAGGTTCGACATTCAATCCATATGACAAACGGGGCAATTAACATGGGTGTATCGGTACCAACATTTCAAGCCCGGCGCATGAGCTGCAATTGCCAACACAGAGATTACTTTAAGTCATACTTCTTATAAATTTCGGAAGGCAATACAAGAAAGGTATTAAAGTAGATCCTTACGTCGTTGTAGCTCCACTCAATAGGATCTTCGCCGACGACATCGCGAAGGGTAGTCGCCCCAGAAATGGTCGGCAAAATAAGGGGTGTGTTCGGGACTGACGCGGATGTCACGAAGACCTTGACCAAGGAAAGTGTGTCACCTACAGCATTCACAAGAGCAATTTTTGATTACATTCAAGCATATATATCAACAGACGTTCGAACTGTATATATAACATGTCATAACACAGACATTATAAGTGTAATACTTTGGAACTAGAACAAGAGGAGTACGTACATTCAGACATGTCGTACAGTACATGGTATTACATTCATGAGTTAGGTAGCGAAGCACATTATACCCTAATTTCCTATGTAATTGCAGCTTGATCTTTAAACCAAACATCCTTCAATAAACATGGGTCGTCATAATAGCAGTTATTTTACCACCCCTACATTAACAGTCTACATCGCTTTGGAAATCCACGGATCGTATCATTGTATACTTCTACACTTAGTGAATCCATGCTAATACGCAATATGAGGCCTGAACAGTCACGAAAACCTACGATATCTCGCTGAGGCATATTAAAAGTTTAATTAAACATCCTCAAAGATACCGGACCAACCTGGCCCAGGGGGGCAGAGCAGAAGTCCCTCTGCAACAACTTTTTTCTCACCGGTGCGGGATAATAGAAGCACATGTGTGCCGACCTACAACAGACAGGGCATATGAGTTGGATAAGGTAGTACGCAGTCAAGAGTAGCCTAAATTAGACACTGCACTGATTTCTGAGAAACTCCAGGGCGTCACGGAATCATACCGTCATGCTTGGCTCGGACACAGGCCTGGGAATCTCAGGGACTGAATCAATACGAGATGTGCCCTATCATATAACATGCCGAGGATGGTAAATTCCTTCGCCATCCAAATCTCATGGGATACTCATACCAAACAGGTCAGGGATTATGAATACTTACTGCCTGGCCAGTAACCGCTCCGGAGTTTCTGTGCATGAATGCATACACATCAGCCTTGATGGTTTTGAACTCATCCATCATTGCCTTCAGCTCCTCCATTCCATTCTGTAGTTGTTCCCACCCATGCTGGAATGCTACACTGTCTGTTAAACCAGTTGACTCGCTGCGGGGATGAGCTGAACTTGCCGCACTGTCGACCTTTGACCGCTTCTTAATCTTTCCCCCAAGGGCCCGTCGGTACAGAGTCTCCCGAACAGAGGGAGTCCGCCCTTCAGGGGGAACCTTGTTTAGCTCATTCTGTAAATAAGTCTACAGGAAAGATTTAAGTGAGGCCGAACTTGCTCTTGTTGTTAGAGATGTAAATACTGACTGAACTGTAACTAAGTTGGGAACGAATTTATTCTACCAATATCTCCTCGGTTTCTTGGTCATCCTTTCCCTTGCCTTGTGTGCGACTGGAAATCCAAATCTCCAGATTGTCGGGGTCCTTCCCCTTTGCCTTGATCTGCAGCAATACAAGGCCTTCTGTCATCGAAAACGTAATGAAATACAGGAGAGGAAAATATGGGGATGGAGCATGACATGACTAATTACTTAATTGTAATAAAAGGTACCTCCTCTGCCAGAGTCGTGAATGACTTCCGCCCAGTACGATGTGGAAAGCTTCTTTTCGCTACGTTCGACGCATTTTTCTTGGATTGAAGCTACGTCAATCAAAGTTATTTAGTTCTCAGTCCATGCCCGTGCAGATTTAACGTATATTAATTTGGCATGTCCCTATGCGTACCTTCACCTTCTCGTCGCGCCAATACTCAACCAACTTCGGCCACTGATCGGGCACAATCCTGCTTGAGGGAACCTTCTTCAGTGCTTCTTCATCGTCCTCGATCGGATTGAAGTAAGTTGATTTGATGCTGTATTTCCAGTGCCTCCAAACTTCCCTTAGGTCAGCCAAGACCACTTTCTCCGCTGAGTCTGGTAATCCGCTGTTACTCTGGAATGCCGTTTCACACGGTTTCCACCAGGTCCGGAGAAGATGGTAGGGCCATATATAAGAATCTATATGAAATAAAAGAACTTTCAATTTAATGAAGTTTGCATCACCTGAACCTCCATCCATGCACCCTGTCTCTTCGTCTCCGGTATCTCAGCGAACGTGGGGTAATGTAGAGGAAGTCGAGCTCCGTTGCGTGCAATGACCCCAATGGCTGTCTTGTACTCGTTTACGTCGGGTCCGACGATGCTTTTACCATCCGGCGATGTGAATACAAGCATCCTGTGATCTTTTCCCCATCCACGCGGCATTCATGCCGCCCCTCTCCCCTGCTTTTTCTTTGACGAACCAGCTGACACAAACAGGAGATTACATGTTCTAATAAGGATATTACATGCAAAATATGAAGTCACTAAATGTAATCGGTAATCTTTGAAGGCTAATTTCCAAACCGTCGTGCGATGTCATCTCGTCCAATGGTGCCATATTGCCCGCCTCTGTTCCTGTCATCAGAGTGGGGTCGGAGCCTGGCCCTTCATCCAAGAGTGGCATATCACTCTCTGCAGTCTCCATGTCCTGCGTCGGCGGAAGTGTCTCGTCATCTGCTTGTGTGGGGGGGATTGTATCATCGTCATCCTGTGTCAGTGCCGTCGGATCAAAAAGTGATGGAACATCCCTATCATCATGTTCCTGTTGGGGTTAACAGTGTCAGCCTATTGTAGTGTTATACTGAGAGTTCAAATAAGGACATGCTTTCGGCAAAGGAACCACATTACCTCCAAAGGGCCCTCTGAATCCTGAAGCACTGCCCTTCGAGTGGAAGATGTTGGCTTCATGCTTTGACCACGAGCATCGCGCTCTTTCTCCCACTCTGATGTGATGGACCGGAGTCGCTGGAGCAGTGGCGAGACCCGAGATCCCTTCCGTTTTGTCACTTTCTTTGTGGGATTGCGGATGGGCGATGGATTCCTGCTTGCGGGATGAGTTGCCTCTAGGGGGCTGTTACGTGCGGATGCCCGGGTAAAACGTCTTGCGGGAGAGACTGCCGGATCCTGTGACCCTCCAACGGCAGCACGTTGAGATTTGCCCATAACCTGCAAGACACCAGTGTTAGTTGGCAGTATGAAAACGTATATTAGGAGAAAATCAAAACACACTTATCACAACAAAGCTTATGAAGTGACATATTACGAGAAATTCACATAATAGTTACTGCAATTAATCAGGGTAAATTGCTTCAGCATACGCAAACGGGGGTAAAGAGCTTATCCGCGTTGACATATTCGGAAAAAATCATAACATCCTGCGCGCGCATAATGGATGCAAAGTGCTTCAGCAAATCAAGCGAAAACAGGGCCTATGAACGATGGCATGCATGTCCGAAAGTGGTTACCTATTACGTACTTCAATCACCGACCCCCCCTCCCCACATAGATGACCATCTGTTGAGATGTGTAATTTATTCTGAACTGCGAACTCAAAAAGGTTGCGTGGTTGCCAAACCATCAAAAATGGGCCAATTACGCTATATTCGCATACTACCAAAAATGCCCGCTTATTTGATTCTGCGCTAAGCACCATCATCTTCGGAGGATTCCTCCGAATCCGAAGGCGAAGTATCGGCATGGTCCATCTGCCCTGCATCTTCTACTACTTGCCCCTCAATACCTTCCCTTAGCCAGTAATCGGCTGCTCCTCTAACATTGCCTCCGTCATCTAAAGGTAACGATGGTTGCTTCATGCACAGCCACGGAGGTAGGTTATATATCACAAGTACGACGGGCCAAATACTATAACTCACACTCATATTCCCAAAAGGGTTGAAACCGTCAGTGGCCAGACCGAGGCGTACGTTGCGAATCTCCTCAGAGAACGTCGGGTACCGATGATCGAAACTCTTCCACGCAGGACTATCTGCTGGATGACACATCTTGCCATCGTCTACACGCCCTTCGGCATGCCATCTCATAGAAGATGCAGTTTTGGAAGATACGTACCATCGCTGCAATCGCGGAATTAATGGAAAGTACCTTAACTTCTTCACTGGAGATCTATCTTTACCCTGTGTAAATCGCTTTTCCCCACACACAACACAAACCTCACGGTCAACATCTTCCCCGGTAAACAACATGCAATTGTTGATGCACGCATGGATAGTCTTGCATGTGAACCCCAAGTCCTTGGTCAGCTTATTAGCCTCATAGAAGTTCTTCGGAAGGACAACATCGTCTGGAAGTGCATCCCGTAACAGCTCTAACAGCAAATCAATAGAATTATTAGACCAGTGGCACAAAACCTTCAAGTGCAAAAGCCGTGCGATAAACGAGAGTCTACTCATCTTCTTGCACCCTGGTATGAGCTCTTTCTCTACATCTTCTAACATCTTTCTATACCCCTTACTGCCATGATGTATATGTTCATTTTCGTCATCCCTATGAGGTTCATTTCCACTGGGCCCCGGATCGGTGTGCTCTGTATATGCACACTCTCGCAATAGAAGTTCTAGTTCCTCCTCCCAACGCATTGGCATATTGTCGTTTGCAACAGCAGGGTTCACCTCTCCTTCTCCGTGGCAAGTCCAAACCTTGTAGGTTTGGTCGAATCCATAACGAATACAATGGAGCAAGACATCTCTACGAGATTTTGTTAAGCGATTTCCGCAAGATGTACAGGGGCAATAGATGCAAGATTCAGAGCTACGATCTTTAAATGCGAAATCTAAGAAAGCCCTGACCCCATCCAAATATTGAGCCGAGATATGGTTCGCATCGTCTATCCAACTCCTATCCATCTAAAAAGGCAATATACATGTGATTCCATCAACAAAACATGCATTCAAAATTGTAATGTTTAAGTCTTGATACGGGCTTGCTCCCTCAATTTAAAAGAACAAAGTTATAGCATCAGCTTTAATAAACTGCATTTTTGTACCTATAAGTCCATGTATTGCACTTATAAGTAAAACATAACATTCATCACAACATTAAGGCCCATGGTTTAAAATCAGCCATTATCTCCACTTTAGAACCTTTTATGGATGCCATTTAATGAGAATTAAATGATGTCTACGCTCCGCCAAAAATTCTGAGCGTCATCTCTAGATACTAGAGCAGCAAGAATTATCCATACCCTACTTGGGTCAAGAAAAATTTCCTACTATTCTAAATTTTTCCTTGCCCTTTTGTACGAATATGAAAAAAATCCTCAAATCTGATGTCTAAAGAGTAAAGCAGGTTTGTGGGAATGCACATAACACTTAACTACACCACCACTCGAGAAAGCATAGAACACTAAGAAGCTTTGCACTGTGGAAATGCATTAAAAAGAAATCCGACCTTCCGTTAAACTCAATGTTGCTTATCCTGAATTCACACTGCACACTTTTGTCTCCACAATTTAGTATCCTGTAAAAAAACACAAGTTAAATATGCACTCATTTTCAGTTAAAATAGCCCAAATGGTGTTGCTTCCGACAAATCGACGCATACAACCAAGTAACAAAAAAAATGGTATTGGTTCCGACAAAGGAGCCAATACTTAGAGTGTAGATATGATATCATATTCATATTATGCAGCATATGTATGTATCACTATCTAACAATATATGCGTCTGAATCTGTATATATTATGCTGTAGAATCCAATGAAACTTATTTAAATATCCACACATAATAACAAAATTCAAAGTTGTTTTGGAAAGAAGCACTCTATATTGGATAGTGTTGCTAGATCATTTTTGTACTTCATTGCAATTATTGCAGAATGAAAAGATAAAATGAGTGAAAGTCTTGGGAGGGTACACCAATAAATAAATAAAGTTCACGAAACCATCAAATCATAAAGTGTATTTATTAACTTTGCTTGTGTGTGCACTTTGGTTTTTTTTAAAAAAAATAATAAAATCTTGTTGCATCATATAATCTATACTAAAATAATCTTCTTCCCTCTATTTAATTATCAGATCCGACACCTATTTTCTATTCAAAACATAATATCCAAAAACCCTTTTTCCATCCGAAAAATTTCAAATCCAAAAAATCCACAACACAAGCACTCTTTCCCAGATATTATGACTGAAATGCAATACAATTACACAAACAGAGAAGCTGTCATATCTTCATGAAAATTGAAACAGAACCATACACCATTGGAATTTCACATATATTTATCATAATGTAGGATGCCCAAATTCCTAAACCAAACAGCACAAAACATCACACTTAACTTAATCGATAAATTCACTTGGCACAATTGTATACAGTAACAATGTAAAAAATTCAAAAGTGCTGCACTTTGCTGGGTAAATGAATTTTCAGTATCTGTGTTACAAACACATCACCGACATGGTGGATCACGCAATACCAGAGTTTGCTTCTAACAAAACATCAGACTTCCAAATATATGACTCAATGTGTAAAAATATACAAAAGCATATTTTAAATCTAACAGAAGGAGCTTCAAAATAAAACCTAGAGGACAATCTACAATGTAAAATACTACAAATCTTTCAAACTTATCGGCCATTGGTTGTTGTGGCTGAACAACCAACCCTAACAACAAGCAATGAACAAATGGGAATGGAAACGCAAAATAGAATAAACAAAATTCACCGACGAGGGCATGGCGAGGAAGGAAAGCAGGACAAGAAGAAATAAGAGAAGGGAGAAGCTAGAAAAACCACCTACCTGATGGATCGATGCCGGAGACGTGTTCCAAAATCCCTCACTTCAACAGGACGCTGCGGCGGGGAGAATTCGACCAGCGACCAAGGTAGATGAGACTGCAAACGGAAGAAACATAAATTAAAAATCGATATGAGAAAAATGTTTTCACATTATCGATTTTTAACCTACAGGGGCGCCGGCGGCTGAGCAAGTTAGAAGAAGAAAAAAGAAGAGGACGAAGAAAGGATAACTTCGCGTTGGAGAAGAAAGGGGGAGGGCGGCGGGTGTGGGTAGGGTTTATGATTTAGTTATAAGTGATGGGAAAAAATGAATGATAATATTATTTTATTTTTACATATTTATATTTATTTTTTAAAAAAATAATTTAAAATTATATTTAAAATAATGGTATAATATGATATAAATAGATATTGAGTCAATGACGTGATATTTTAAATATAAAATTAATTTTTAGTATATTATTAAAGTAAAAAATATTTATTTGATTTGATATTTTTAGCAAAAAAAAAAATATGAATAATAATTTGAAATTTGAAATTTTTTTATAAAAGAACACAATAAATAAAAGAACAAAAAAATAAATTTTCTAAATTTAAATATATCATTTTCTTCAATAAAATATTATTTAAATATCATCTCTTTCAAATTATCACATCAATATATCATTTTTTTCAATAAAATAATAATTTCATCCTACATAATCATTACAAAATTCAAACTCTCAAACAAATTCAACTTAAAAATCCATACTTCAAAATTCTCCAAAATCCAAATCCAAAATCCAATCATCCAACCAAACACACCCTTTGTAAATTTTATAAATATAATTAATTAATAATAAATCTTTATTTATATTTATTTTACATTCAATTTGTTAAAACTAGGAGGAGGGCGGCTGGTAGATAGTGCAATATATTTTTACTTATTTATTATATATTGTAATAAATTTTATATACAATTAATTAATAATAAATTTTTATTTATATTTATTTTACATTCAATTTGTTAAATATTATTTTCAATATTTGAAGTTTGATTATTTTTTTAATTTTTAATTTTTTATTAAAAATTATAAAAAATGCTTTTCTTTGTTACAGAATAAAGTCGTAATTATTGTATTTACGATATTTTTTTGTCATATTTTTAATTGTTACGAAACATTTATCGTAATAAATAAAAGAAGACGTTGACTAATAAAAATTCCTTTCGTCACGAAAAAATTCATAACAAAAACAATCTTTTATTATGACAATATTGTTACGAATCTTCTTTCCGTAATGAAAGCCCATATTTTTAGTGTTTAACTATAAATTAAAGATAAATATCAAAAAAATAAATTCAACCAAAAAAACTCTCCTTCTGGACAAAGGAATACAAATTCACCTCAAATGTAACACACGATAAAGCCCAAACAAATGGAGTTAAAATGTAAGACTATATCCATACCGAGAAACAGGCGAAGAACTTTGGAGTAATACCAAATCTTTCGGGAGAAAACTTAAAAACCTTACGTAGATCCCGGAGTAGATCCCTCGTTTCCGTTGATTTCACAATGCTCGTCGTCCTGCAGGTTCAGAGGAAGGAAACTCGATCGAGTTTTCTACAAGGGAGAAATGAGATTATGCCCTAATTTGTCGAAGATACCTCGCGTAATACAAAATCTTTTTCGAGCTACCTTCAAAACCTTACCTGGGTGAGGTGCGCCGGAGTAGATCCTAGGGACGGATCGATTTCACCTCGCGCGTCGTCGTCGGCAGCTACAGGAAATCGGATCGCGGGCGACTGTGAGAAGCGAACGAGGGAAATGAACCAGATGCCCTAATTTGTCTAAGTGTGGGATGATATAGCGTTTTTGTCCATTTTGATCGTTTCTGGAATGAAAGCGTCAATCCAGTATTTTACTTTTTTTTTTTTTTTTTTAATTTAACTTTTCCAAAAAAAAAAAATTAAATACCAGTAGTTACGAACACTTTACGTAACTAATGTTATTTTGACCAAATTCTACAATCTCATTATTTGTTACGATATTTTTTGCGTAACGACAGAACCTAAAACGTTGACCGGGTTTTTTTTTTTTCGTCACGGATTTTGTCGTAACTAATATATCTATTTGTTACGATTTTATTGTTACGGACTCTCAACCCGTGGTGAATAGCCCTTTTTTTGGTAGTGTGCCCCATTGCGAGTTCCGAAAGTGATCCCATCAGAAAAATGAGAGAAAAGTAAGAAAGTACCTACCAAAGATACCCTTTCTCAAATGGGGAGGAACAGTGGCCAGGCTATATTTCTCATTCGAAAGGATATTAGATCCATTGGAGAGGATGAGAGTGATAGGATTTACATTTTGCTTTGTAAGTTTAATTTCCTTACAGCTTATGATTTGCAATCTAACCTGCCTCTAGAGTTCTATCCTATTTTGCAGGAATTTTCTGATGTATTACCCAAGGAACTACCAACCGAGTTGCCCCCAGTCCATGGTATTGAACATCAGATTGATTTCATACTTGGCGCTCAATTGCCAAATAGGCCGGCATATAGGGCCAACCCAGATGAGACCATAGAGATCCAAAGGCAAATCCAAGACTTGTTAGATAAAGGCTGGATGTGTGAGAGCCTTAGTCCATGCTCTGTACCGGTACTCCTCGTTCCAAAGAAGGATGGTAAGTGGCGTATGTGTGTAGATTGTAGAGCAATAAATGCAATTACCGTTAAGTATAGACATCCTATTCCTAGATTAGATGATATGCTTGATGAACTTCAGGGTGCTGTTCTTTTTACAAAAATTGATCTTAAAAGTGGTTACCATCAGATAAGAATAAGAGAAAGAGATGAGCGGAAAACTGCCTTCAAAACTAAGCTAGGGCTGTATGAGTGGACTGTCATGCCTTTTGGCTTAACTAATGCCCCTAGTACCTTTATGAGATTGATGAATCATGTTCTTAGACCTTGCATCGGAAAGTTTATGATTGTTTACTTTGATGACATCTTGATCTATAGTAAGGACTTGTCTGCACACATTGAGCATGTGAGAGAAGTGTTCACTTTATTGCGGCAGAAAAAACTATATGCAAATGTTGAAAAATGTGCATTTTGTGCTTCTAGTTGTCTATTCCTTGGCTATGTTGTTAGCACACAGGGAATACAAGTCGATGAGGAGAAGATCAGAGCCATCCAAGAGTGGTCTGTCTCTACTACTGTTCGTGAAGTTCGTAGTTTCCATGGCTTGGCGGGATTCTACCGAAGGTTTATTCATGATTTCAGCACTACTGCAGCCCCTCTCACTGCTGTTATTCACAAGGATGAACTATTTAGTTGGGGAGAAGCACAACAACAAGCCTTCGACAAGCTGAAATATTTTTTAACTCATGCCCCAATTCTTAAACTCCCGAACTTTGAACTAACATTTGAACTTGAATGTGATGCTTCAGGTGTGGGTATTGAAGCCGTTCTAATGCAGAATTGCCAACCTATTGAATACTTCAGCGAGAAGCTAGGTGGGGCAGCCTTGAACTACCCAACTTACAACAAGGAGTTATATGCCTTGGTTTGTGCACTTCAGGTATGGGAACATTATCTTTTGCCAAAGGAATTTGTTATCCGCTCAGATCACGAGTCCTATAAGCATATAAAAACTCAGGCTAAACTAAATAAGAGGCATGCCAGATGGATTGCTTTTGTTGACACATTCCCTTATATGATAAAATATAAGAAGGGAAAGGATAATGTCGTAGCTGACGCACTCTCTAGGCGCACTCACATTCTTACTATGTTGACTTCTCAATTGCTAGGGTTTTCACAGGTAAAATCATTGTATGCAAAGGATAAAGATTTTTCTGACATCTTCAATAAGTGTGCCAA